ATGAAGGAACTCGTAAAAGATGCTAGCAAACATGAAAATGCCCCCCTTAAGCCGAGCAGTTCACTTCTCTAATAGTGTGCATAAGTTTCTAGAGCTGGGCTGCGTTACGTTCACAGTTCCTCCTCGTTCGCTCGAAAAAACTGTCGTCGACCTGGAGCAGGGCACACCCAGCGACCAAATACGACCCCCTGTTGGGGAATCCCGAACAACGATGTGCCCTGACCGGCAGGAGTGTGAGGGACTATATAGCGCTTGAAACAAGAAAAACCGAGAAAAGCTAACAACCGAAAACATTTCTCTCGAAGGCAGATATGACTGTTCCTCTCCAGTGACAAAATAAGACTCCCGTTGGTCGGAGACCCGACGTGGGATGGACGTTGATCCTATTACTAACCGAACTTTTTATCACCGCTCAATTTGGTGTGACTTTTCTGATTACCCTTTATCACTGACGGAGGTGGTGGTGCTATTATATGGGATGTTTGAAACAGGAAAAACCGAGAAAAGCTAACAACAGGAAATATTTTTTTCAAAGGCAGATACAACCAGGGCACATCATTGGCTGGGAATTTGGTCGAGTCCGTACGACCGCCCTCGTTTTTCATGAGGTTGGTGCGACCCCCCCCCTGATTCCCTCCTCATCGAGCTGTCGTGCGGAGGGAGGGGGATAAATAGTACACGTGAAACAGGAAAAATCACAATAACTGAGCAAGTTCTCTCGGAAAATTCGAGGGGAAATATGATTCCTCTCCCTTATAACGTCCCCGAAACAAGAAAAATCAACCATCAAAAAAAATTTCTCGGACCAAACACGATCCCCTCCCCCGTGTTGGGGAATCCCCAGCAGCGATGTCCCCTGTCACTAACTGAACTTTTTGGCTCTGCTCGATATGTGGAACAACTTGTCGGAAGTGGCGGTGCGGTTTTGTAGCATCTTTGAAACAGGAAAAACCGAGAAAAACTATCAACAAGAAACATTTTTTTCAAAGGCAGGTACAACCACGGCCAGCATTGGCTGGGATTCGGTCGAGTCCGTGCGACTTCCCTCCCTAGGGTGGCTTGATACCCCCTGATTCCCTCCTCTGGTACGATCGAGCGGTGGTTGGGGGGGACTCCTCTAAGAAGGCAAAAACCACCCCTCCCTCACAGCGTCGTGAAAGAAGAAAAATCAACCGCCAAAAAGTTTTCTGACAACATGACCCCCTCCCTCAGCGAACAACTGCGACGCTGCTTGGGGAATCCACACCGATGATGTGCCCTAGATCCAACCCTTCCCTACCCAGTGACCATGTACGACTCCCCATCCCCTCGTTGGGGAGCAACGTACGATGTGCGCCGGACTCTTTTATCAGCTTGGACTTTTTAG